CCGATCATCGAATGAAAAATGTGTTTAAAATGTAGGAGAATGCCCTGGAACTGTTTTAAAACATGCTTATTGGTAATGCTTGAAACAGTTTAAACACATGTTCTAGACATCTGGAAATTATTTGGCAACGTGCTTCCTCTCCGTTGATCGTCCTCCACGAATCTATCGCCCCCCCTTTCGTTCGCACCCAAAGAGCACACCGCTGGGGTTGTCCAGGGAGTAGCCGTGTCGGTGCCGCTTTTGTTCCCGCAGGACCTCGCACCCCGTCCACCAGGGCGCACCCGGCGTGGCTCGTCTCGCGAGACGACGACCACGGACTGCGCACCCCTGGTCCTCAAATACCCCCCACACATGCTTCCAGCAACCAAGCAACCGGGCAACCCGACAATCTCGTCTGGTTCAGCCTTCTGACCCTGCGCCTACACACATGCACCTGACAACTCTGTTTAGCCTGAGCGAGGCTCCTGTCCAGAAATCCTATGGAATCGTAAGGAGTCGTCTGCGTTCCGTCAAAATCATCATAGATCCTGTGGAATGGAATCGGAGCGCCGAAACATTTCCTTGGGAACCCTTAGAAATCAAAGGGCATCGCATCGTGTACTGAAGAATTATACGGATTCCTTTGGGATTCGTAGCATTCTTACGGACTCCGACGGTACCCTGAGGAATCCTGAGGGGTCGTGGGAACCCTCAAAATCCGTGAGGATCTGAAAGAATCCTGAGGAAAGCTTCGGAATCCTGCGGAATTCTGGAGAGTCCTGAGGACCCCGACGGAATCCTAAGGAACCCTGAGACATCTTAAGGGATCCTTTGAAGCCTTCGAGACCCTTGGGAATCCTTAGGATTCCGACAGAAACCTACAGCATGCTTGGAAATCCGACGAAACGCTTCAAAATTCTTACGAATCTGAATGGAACCCTGCGGAATCGGTGTCCAGAGGAATCCTCATGAATCCTGCGCAATACTTGAAAATCCGTTGAAGTACAGAGGAAACCTGACGATTCCTCGGGGATCCTCCACAATCCGATGGGATCTATAAGACATCTTCTGGAATCCAAAGAAATCCTGGGATCCTGGGACACCCTCAAGAAACCTTAAAAATAACTCGGAATCCTGCAGAATCCTGCAGAGCCCTGGCGAATGAACCCTGAGGAATCGTGGGGGATGCCTCGGAATCCTACGGAATTAATTGGAACCCTCGGGAATCCGGAGGAAGTCTGAAGAATCCTTCAGAATCTAAAAAGAAGACCAAAGAAATTCTCAGAAATCCCGGGGAGCACCCCAACAAAACTAAAGGAACTCAGGGCAATCCTGAAGAATCATGCTGAACCCCAAACAACCGAAAGAATCACTAGCATTCCTGAGGACTCAGGAATGCTTAGGCATTCTCAGGGATCCTGAAGAACCTTCGGGATCCTGAAGAACCTTACGGACTCTGGGGGGTCCTCAGGAATCTAGGGACGTCCTCAGGAATTCTGACACATGCTTAAATACGCTCAATTGGGAAACTGAAGATGACCCAGGCATGACCCCAAGATGAACCCAAGATGGCCGACCCAAAGGTGACCCCAAGATGACCCCAATATGACCCAAAGAGGACTCCACCATGGCAACGGAAGGACCCCAGCATGGCCCCATAATGCCCCTCAACTAATCCCGACATGATCCCAGGATGACCTCACGCTGACCCCAAGATTACCCCACGATGGCCTAAAGACGACCCCAAAATATGAACCCAAGACGGCCCCGACATGATGTAAAAGAACCCAGCCATGAACTCACGCCAACCCAATGTGACGCCGATATGAACGCAGAATAACCTCAAGACGACCGCAAGATTAACCCACGATCGCTCCAATATGATCCCAAGATGGCCCCAATGTGACCCCAACATAACCTCAAGACGACCCCAATAGTTGTTTCGTTGGCCCCAACATGACCCCAGTCTGACCCGTCAAGACGACCTCAACCTGACCCCATGGATGATCCAAACATGACCCCAAGAAGGCCCCACGACGACACATAACTCCAAGATGACCCAATGATGGCCCCAACGCGACTCCCAAATGGCCCCAACACAATCCCAAGGTGACCCCACTATGACCCCAAGAGGACGCCAACATGACACAGTGTGAACCCAAGATGCCCCCAACATGACGCCAACATGAACCCAAGATGTCTCCACGCTTCCAACAAAACGACCCCAACATGACCGCAACACGTCTCCGAAGTGACATCCTTTCGACCCTGGGAGGACACCAATATGACCCCACGATGACGCCGAGATGACGCCAAGATGACCACAACATGACACCATCGTGACCCCAAGATGGCATCACGCTGGCCCCAAGGTAACTCCAAGACGTCCACATGATGACCCCGAGACGACCTCAAGGTGGCCCCAAGATAAACCCAAGACGACCTCAAGATGACTCTCGCGGCGCCATGGCATCTGCTCACGACGTCAGATGTCGGGCCTCCTCTTGCTCAATGTCCCCCC